AAAGGTCTTTTAGTATTATTACTAAAGCTTAGTAACCTATTTGCTGAAAGTTTGGAAAATCAGTAGTCCTAGAGAAATTTGAAGCTTATCTTTTGAAGTTTCTGAGGGGAACAAGTATTCTTTCAAAAATGAGGCCATTCAGGCTACACCATGGCAAAGAATATAGCCATTTCTACCTCTGTTCTGAGAGAACCTAAGAGAAATGGATCAAAATGATGTGTTAATATATTTGATGGAGGAGGTTTTCTAGGCAGTCATGGCACACTTTGTGCTTACTACATAAATAAAGGTCTACAGTGTTTAAAAATAGGTTGGCAGAAAAGTGTAAAAAGAAATTTAGTTTATCTAGAAAATAGCTTGACTGAATTTAAAGTTGTAGCAAGGTTCATGCTGACAACAGAGGCTAGATTTGCCAAAGCAAACCTCCTGCTATGTACTGGGAGAGCAGAAAGAAGTCATGAAAGTAAAACTCCACTCACAGGAGGCTCCAGCATGTGAGACTGCAAATTTATTTTTAAAAAGAGAGCTTAAAGTCAGAATGTCTAAGGGGCCCAACTGCTCTTGGAAAGCAATTCTATTTCCCAGAGGTCATCACTGACAGGCTGCTCATTGTAGATGGAGGGTGCCAGGATCTATCTTGAGCTGGAAGTAAGACTTGGCAACATTATCAACACAGTACTGGCATTTTAGCCATTAAAATGAAGGGTTGAATGGGAAATTGAGTCTTGAACCATAGCTCCAGAAAATTGATAAGGCCAGGAAATTTATGGCAGGTTCAGAGTCCCTGAAAATAGACCTAGGCCATGACACAAATCTGTGAAGTAAAGCCTGAATTGCAGTGGAGACTCTAGTATGGTGGCGACTCCAGGACCATTTGGTAATGATCACTCTAACCAAGAAAATGAAAGTTTGCAGACTAAAAAATAAGATAGCAAGGTCAGAAATTGAGCAAGCCATCAGAAGATGGAAAGTCCTCTCATGTTCATGGATTAGAAGGCTTTGTATTATGAATATGGCCATCCTGCTTAAAGCAATCTACAGATTCAATAAAACTCCTTTAAAATTCCAAAACAATTCTTCACAGAAGTTGAAAAATAATATTTAACTTCATATGGAAAGACAAAAAACTCAAGAGAGAAAAACAGTCCTGCATAATAAAAGAACTACTGGAGGTTATCACTATCCCTGTTTTCAAGTTGTACTATAGAGCTATAGTAATAAAAAGGTGGTTCTGGCATAAAATCAGACATTAATTTACAGAATAAAATTGAAGACCTAGACATAACCCCCCATAACAATGTTCAACTGATTCTTTGACAAAAAGGTCAAAATTATATACTGGAGATAAGGTAGCATCTTCAAAATTGATACTCATCAAATTGTATAGTTGAATCTAGAACAGTAGTTCACAACCTTCCCAGTGTTGCAACTCAATTAATGCTGTGGTGAACTCCAACCATAAAATTATTTTTATTGCTACTTCTTACCTGTAATTGTGCTACTGCTATAAATCACAATTTAATATTTGGTATTTCTGATGGTCTTAGGCAACACCTGTGAAAGAGTTGTTCAATCCCCAACGGGGTGAAAATCCACAGGTTGAGAACTGCTGATCTAGAAGAATTAAAATAGATCTGTATCTATCATCCTGGAGAAACCTAAACTTCAAATGGATATAGATCTCAACATAAATCCTGATACCCTGAATGAAGAGACATTTGGGAATGTGTAAGGGTGAGCTCTAATAGGTCTTAATAATAAAAGCTCAGAGTCATATACAGGGGAAAATACTGAGATATCACAGAGACAAAAGAGCAAGACCACAGTCATCTCACCTACTCAATTTCCCAGCTGTAAAGAGACTGAGCTCTGTCTCCTTCCACCTTCTCACTTCCTCTCTCTACCCAGTCATATCACTTCCTGTCTGTACAGACCTCCAGACCCCTATGGCTGACTAGTGGCTAGCTCTGCCCTCTGATATTCAGATAATCTTTATTTGTTAAAGTATAAACAAGATATCACTACATTTCCCATTTCCCCTTTTTGGCTAAAATAAAAAAGGTTATAACTATTATAAGAAAAATTATATACATTGGGTACAATAAATACATACAATATATACAGACAATAGATATATCAGCAATGTTTAGTTCATTAAAAATTGACAAATTCAGAGAAAATACTCCATTTCTATTTCTATTTTGGTGAGTTCAAAATGTTGTACCTAATTCACTTTCTATTCTAACTTGCATTACCAAATTATCTTTCTATGTCTTCCAACCTTTATCTTCTCAGTCTGGTAACAAGGAAAAGTATAACTATAAATTCTTCAATTCCATCAGAGAACTTGGAAGGATATAATACCTGAGTAATCCCGAAGTGCAAGCAAGTGACTTCTAAAAAATGTGAGAAATGTCAGAAACAGCTGGATACCTAACAGTCACCCAAAGTTACTCTGCAATGTTGGGGCATCTGTCTTTGGCCTACAACAAAAAATCTGACAGATTTTTCTCTGAAGCAGGATATTCTGAAGGGCTGTCCTACCTTGTCTTAGCAAAGTTCAGCGGTCCTTTCTTTTGTGTCCTGCTTGTCAAATTTGGACAGCACACTGGCAGAAGTCAAGACAAGAGAACTTTCTTGCCCAGTGGCTAACCATTGCCAGAAAGAAAGTAAACTCCATGTGGAGTTTCTTTAATGCCCATCAACTTCTCTGAAGTAGATTCATGCTGCCAGGAGCAGTTATGTCTCATTGTCAAAAACAAGTAAACCTATGTTACTAAGTATCTTAAATGCCATATTATGTAGATCTCTGAAGTATTTGAAGATGGCTTGTCTAGCTAAAGTTTATCTCTGTTTGACCTTGAAAACATACCTAATATAGCTACAAGGTCAATTGTAATAAATGACTAATTAGTAGCTTGCATTTCTTTTTATCCCAAATAATTGGTAATAATAACTTTCAAGTGCTAAAAATTTGCATTACACAATTAAATGAATTGTGTAGGTATAATATCTTGAAAACAATAGCAATGTATGTACAGTACGTTCTAACAAAAATAATCTTAATTTTGAATTTATATACACAAAATCCAAGTCAACATAAAATATTTAAAACTAGTATTTGCTTTTTTATTTAAAACTATATCCAATAATCTAACTTTTTGTCCTATGTCTACATCCCCTTTTAGCTTTTCAAAGTAGATTCAATAATCTACACTTATATCTTACCATATCTATATCTCCTTTTTTCCAAAACAAGAACTCTGAATCTAATCTCCTTTACTCAATTTTTTCCTGACCATTACCAATAACAAAATGTTCACAACCTCCCTAAACAATCGCAAATACCTCTAACTCATTAAATGACCAAAAACCATCAACCCCACCTCTTGAGAATGTGGGTGTTATATCCTTAAATTTACTTCCTATTGTATGGGGGCAATAGCATCCGTAGGGGTTACTGAAAAGAAAAAGTGGGGTTAAGTGTCAAGTACTGGGAGAGGTAGCTCTATTATTTGTTGTCCAGTCCCTGAGTAATGGGAAAGTGCAGGGCTTGTCCTGGCTAAAGTAGTCTGTGAGGATGGATAATTTCAGCTAGTTAACTCAAAATAGTCCTGAGCAGTTTGTAGTCCAAAACCATCTGTTAGGTGGTATTTTTTTTAACTTAGTGGCATTGTCACAGTCTTGCAGGAATCGCCATTGTGGCAACACCTCATTGGCTTAGAAACTTCAAAGATTGCTATTAGGCATTGCAATGGTTCACTGGAGAAAACTTAAACATTTCAAATGTCACATGCAATAGAACTAAAAGTTAAAAGATCAGTATTTGTTATCTACATCCAGAGTACAAAAACTTAATTCCTTGGAACCTGATAGAGACTCAAATACAAAATACCTTTATAGGAAGCTAGATGAAGACTTTCTCTTTTTTGGAATTTAATTTAGAATCAATTTTAGTTTACATATCAACCCCAGTTCCCTCTCCCTCCCATCCTCCCATGACACTCACTGAACTCCCCATCTTACCCCACCGCCATCCACGTCCACTCCCCAGGAAGGGTGAGGCCTTCCATGAGTAATCATCAAAGTCTGTCACATCATTTGGGGGAGAGCCTAGGCCTTCCTCCATGTATCTGGGATGAGAGAGTATTCCCCACTGGGAAATGGGCTCCCAAAGTCCATTTGTGTACTAGGAATAAATACTGGTTCCACTGTCAGAGGTCACATAGACTGCACAGGCCTCCTAACTAGCACCCACATTTAGAGGACTTGGTTCGATGCAGTGCTGGTTCCCAGCTTTATGACTGGGGTCCATGTGCTCTCACTTGGTCAGGTCAGCTGTTTCTGTGGGTTTCTCCAGCATGGTCTTGACCCCTTTGCTCATCACTCCTCCCTCTCTGCAACTGGATTCTAGGAGTACAGCTCAGTGCTTAGCTGTGGGTGTCTGCTTCTGCTTCCATCAGATACTGAATGAAGGCTCTAGGAGGGCATTTAAGGTAGTCATCAGTCTTATTATAGGGGAAAGGCATTTAAGGTAGCTTCTCTACTAATGCTTAGATTCCTAGTTGGGATCATCCATGTGAATCTCTGGACATTCCCCTAGTGCCAAACTTCTCTTTTAACTTACAATGGCTCCCTCTGTTATGTTATCTCTTTTCTTGATCTTCTATTCTTCCCCTGACTTATCTTCCTGATCCCTCATATTCTCCTCTCCCTCGTCTTCTCCCCTTTTCTTTTTCCTATCTTCCTTTGCCCCATGCTCCCAATTTGTTTAGGAGCTCTTGTTCCTTTCCCCTTCTGCGGGGGACCATGTATGTCTCTCTTAGGGTCCTTCTTGTTTCCTAGTTTTTCTGGAGGTGTGGATTCTAGGCTGGTAGTCCTTGCTTTATGTTTAATATCCATATATGAGTGAGTATATACCATGCTTGTTTCCAGTTCCATCCATCTGCCTGCAAATTTCAAGATTTTGTTGTTGGGCTTAGAGAATGAGAGAGCCACACTCCAACTCCAAAGCCAGCTTTAATTTTTAATTGGACTGGGAGTACAAAAAGGCCATTTGCATTATAAATCTGTGGAGAAAAGCAAACACAATCATTTGGGAAGGTTTATAAAATTGTATCCTTTTGGAGATGTGATATACTAATAGGCTGAATCATTCTTTTTCTTAGGGTATTTTTTTCCTGGATGATTTGTCATTTTTCTTCATGCCTCATTGTCTAGTAGTCTGCAGATTTCTTAGTTTGATGCATTCATTCTCCTGAAAAGACAAAAACAAAACCCATCCCCATCCATAAATTTGAGGAGGTGCCATTATGGCAAGTTATAACTAATCAAATAAAAGGCATTTGTTAGTTTTAGAATTAGATTATATTGAACAGCCATGATATTTGGTGAACTATCACCTCTTCTAGTAAAGAGGTGTCTCTTTTTCAAATCTAATCTTTATCAATTTTGATGGTGTCTATAGCTGTTCTCCTGTGAAAACAAAAGCAAAACTCCTTCCCTAATATAATACATATTCAGGTTCCCTTCTGAGGTCAGCACATGTTTAAAGAATATAGGCTGATTTAATTCTCTAGATTTTTCTGTTATTCATTATCTCTCAGAATTTATCATTCCTTCATCATTAGCATTCAGAAAATTCAAAGTTAATAAAGCATTATTATTTGTACCCCTTTCTCTTTATTTAGCATATCCTTTAGAGTTCGATTTGATCTTTCTATATATCTGGCTGCCCTGCAGGATTGTCTGGTATAATTGTAATATGCTTTATATTGTAATAAGCAAAAAACTGTTTCATTTTACTAGGGACATATGCTAGAGCATTGTCAGTCTTAATTTGTACAGGTATTCTCATGGTGGCCATACTTCTAAAAAATGTCTGAGTGTAGAATTTGCCTTTATAGAACTCAAAGCCTATTGACATCCTGAATAGGTTTTAATGGTGTGTTGTACCCATTTTAATTTTCCAAATTATACAAAATGAAACACATCTATCTGACAGATTTTATTCTCTTGAGCTACCTTTGGGTTACGTAATTCCTGCTGGTAGTGGAGTTTGGTTGTATAAAGAAAACTAGGACATTTTCTTGTAATTTCCTTGGCATGTTGCTAAGTGGTAGAAAATCTTTTTTTCAAACCTTGGTATTGGCATGATGCTTTTTTTATGAAATTCTGAGACCTTCAGCATATTTCTTATCAATATTTCTTGATCAATTTCATCATTACCTTGTGCTAGAGGGCCTGGCAGATCCATATGGGTTTGGATATATGTTATAAATATATGATGGTTCCTATTCATGATTATTTCTTGTAACGGAATAAATAATAGTCAATTCTGTTTCATCTGGTATAAATTCAGTAGTTTCAATATGCAAAACACCTCTTTCTGCATATTATGAATCAGTAACTATGTTGAGAGGTTCTGTAAAATCCATTAATACCATAAGAATAACATATAATTCTGCCAGTCATTGGTAGCGCACACCTTTAATCCCAGCACTTGGGAGGCAGAGACAGGAGTATCTCTGTGAATTCGAGGCCAGCCTGGTCTACAGAGTTAGTTCCAGGACAGCCTCCAAAACAATACAGACAAACCCTGTCTCGAAAAACCAAAAAAAAAAAAAAAAGAATAACATATAATTCTGATTTTGGACAGAATCAAAAGGGCTTTGAGCCTCTCTATATTTACATTTTCTGATTTGTAATCTGCCTTTCCTGGTTTATTTACATTAGTATAGAATGTAGGGTCTCCATATATTGGTGTTCCCTATACAACACCAGAAAGGATCCAGTTAGCTCTCTTTATAAGTTTAATTCTCTTGCTTTAATCTCTCCCAAAGATTACTGCAAGCTCTTTGCTTTGTTCACATTCTCCCAATAATTTGTTAATTTCATCATTAGTAACAAATACTACAATTTCTGTGGTGTCTATTCCTGCTAATTGACAAAGTCTCAATTTTCCTTTTAGAATCAATTCAGAGATCATTTCCCCAGAAAATTTTAATTCTTTTACACTGTTTATGTGGTAAAAGATCCATTTCCTCCTAAGATAATATCTTCCCTCTGCATTAATATTCCTGAAGGAAATGCTTAGAGGGTAAATTAACCAAAATGCAATCAAGCTTTGGATCCAAGCAATACATATTTATATCCTGTAATATTTTTTCTACCAAAGCCGATTCTCTCTCAACTTCAGCTGATAATTCCCTTGCACTATTTAAGTCCTTGTAACCTTGTTTTGAACAAATTATTCAGTTCATTTTTTTCCATTCCAATAGTGGGCCTTATATAGGAAATGTCTACTAGCAATCTTTGAAAGTCATTAAGAGTCAGTAATTGATCTCTCCTAATTTGCATGTTTTGGGTCTAATTTTCTATAGACCCATTTTATATTCTAAATAATAAATAGAATATTTGTATTTTAGCAGCAATTTATAATCCCCAAAAAGGGAAAATTTTCTTTATTTCTTCAAACATTCTTTCTAAATTATCTATATTTGAGCTCAGCTAGGAAAATATCATCCATATAATGATAAGCTACAGATTGAGGAAATTGTTTATGTATTATTTTCAGTGGTTGATTTAGAACACATTGGCACAGGGTGAGGCTACTTAACATTCGCTGTAGGAGAACCTTCCACTGATATGTCTTGGAAACCTGAAAATCATTATGAGTAGGCACTGTGATGGCAAATTTTTCTCTATTTTCTTCTTATAAAGGTATAGTGAAAAATCCTTTTAAATCAATAACTATAAGAAGTCATCCTTTAGGTAATAGAGAGTATAAAGGAATTCCAGACTCTAGAGAGTCCATTCACTGAATTATTTTATAAACAGGTCTTAGATGTATTACCATTCTCTATTTTCCAGATTTCTTTTTAATAAAAAATATAGGAGAATTCTAATGGTTGGTTGGCTCTTCAATATGCTGAGCATTTAACTGCACCTGTACCAGATGTTGTAAGGCCTCCAGTTTTTCTGTTGTTAAACACCATTGAGCAACTCATACAGGTTTGTGTGTCAACCATTTGAAAGCTATGGCTGTTGGTGACTTTGAATGATCAGCAGCTTTTGTGCTCTGTTCTTATATTATCTGAATGACCAGTGACTGTTCTTTATAATACCTTCTATTTTTTCCCCATAAGTATATATTAATTTATGGTTTTGTTTCTGAGATTAAAGGACTGTTCTTCTGAGTATTCCACTGCTACAACAAATCATGTCCCAATAAGTTCATTGCTAGGTTAGCCACATATGGCTTTAATTTTCCTCTCTGTCTGTCTGGCCCTATACATTCAACCTATCTTGCACTCTGTTTTATCTAACATAAAGTTCCAATCCCTAAAAACTGAATATTTACCTCCTGAAGAGGCCAATTTGGATGTCAAGATTCTGTTGCAATTATTATAATATCTATGTCTGTGTCTATAAGGCCTTTAATGACAATGTCATTTATTTGTATTTTTAATTTTGGTCTTTGCTTGTTTATAGAAGTTTGAATATATATATATATATATATATATATATATATATATAGAGAGAGAGAGAGAGAGAGAGAGAAAGTGTTTAAATGTAGTCTTTATATAATGGGGAAGATAATATCCTAAGTAAATATCATATGCTACTAAATAAATCTCACAGTACTAAAAATGAGTTGTTGACCAGAAGGGTTCTATGGATGCCCCCCCATACACATATGTTACAGTTTACTGCCAATGCTGTTGACTATCCTCCATAACCTGATGGTAAGAAAGTCCCCTCTTGCTGAAGACACCACATACTTATGTTATTGAATATGAAGAATTCAAGCTGATATTCAACTGGAGTCTTTACTCTTACTGACAAGCATTCATACAACTGCAAGTTACTATAGATACTACCAGAAAAGAAACCTTATTACCAATCCCATCCAGCTATGAACCTTCCAAGGTGGAACAACAACCTACATACAAGATATGCCCACTGGTGCAAAAGTGAAATAAATTTTATGGGATCAACCAACTACTTTTTGATTGGATTCAAGGTTGTGCCCATGAGATGGAGCCCATACCTGAAACTGTTAATGAGGCTACAACACTGACACTACATGACTCATGGGCCCTAAGGGAAAACCTACCGGTAGTACTTTGATAAGTGAACATAAAATGACTCTTGGTGACATCTTGTAATATTCATAGATCAGTGCATTGCTGATCACTTCAGATAAGCTTCTTCTTGTAGTAGATGGCAAGTGACATCAAAGTCCTGAAACTGGGAAACATGCAGAGGTTGAAATACCTTGCAACACTCTGCTGTAAATAGGATATCTTTACCACACTTCTCCCCATTAGGTTCAGGGGTTTATATAGAATATGAGGCAGATTCTAAGAGCCAGAGGTTGTAAATGTCTCCAAGGAAAACAGTGTTTTCCAGACAGAATAGGGCTGATGCACATATGAACTCAGGGTCTGCAACAGCATGCACTTGGTCTGAACAGGCTCAATCCAGACAAAATCCTAGCATTCAGAAAAGTGGGCACAGTGTCCCAGTCCAAAGCAAGAATCTATTTATAATTCATATCTGATGGATGAGGGAAAGTCAGGGTTTTTTTTCCAACGGGATGATACTAGGTATACCAACCACACTCCAGGGTAGGTGCCCTGTTCAAGAACAGACAGCTAATACACATTAGACTCCACACACTTTATTTGTCTCATTCTGTTGTTAAGAGTAATAACATGATGTTGACTGGGTAGGAAAATGGAATCTGGGAGCAGTTGTGGGAGAGTGAAGAATACGATCAAAATATATCATGAAATTTACAAAACATGAAAACAAAAAATATGTACAGTGGCATAAACTCTCCCTATATTTGTGAGTTTGAGGCTATGTGCTACATAGAGGGTACCTGGCCAACTAGGTTAAGACTCTGTCTCTAAAATCTAAACTGAATTAAACTAAACTAAACAACGAAATTAAATAGATCAATTTTTCTTTTCATAAGTTCTATTACCACTGATATACCAGGTATCCAGAGAACTTAAGGCTTTCTTATTTTACAGAAACAACAATTAGGTTAGGTTGTTGACTTGATTCTTTGAAGAAAGTTAATTTTTCTGTTATAATAAAATTCTGTTTTATAAAATGGAAGAATACTTTTTGAAATTTGTATTCATAGCATGTGTGTGTATGTTTGTGTGTGTGTGTTTTGAGATAGGGTTTCTCTGTATTGCTTTGGAGCCTGTTGTCCTAGAACTTGTGCTAGGATTGTAGGCA